ATCCATTGAGTCGAAGCACCTATAGACGGCTGTTGACTGGTATCCAGTTGAGAAGCGCACTTTCTGTTAAACAACTCAATGCTATGCCTGCACCAGCGAGTTCACCAGTGCTAGCCATCGGGTCTCCAGATACTCTTAAGGTGAATCCTCAAGATTCAATATTATGGGCTGGTGAGGCCAATTTAATAACCACGCTTGGATCCTGTATATGTGTCTTACAGACACAGGACATATCGATTGCTTGAGATTCCAGAGTTCTGTCAAGCGAAGCTTGATGTCCAGTTCGGCATAACGTTCGGATGTTGAAAGCTTCTACATGAAATTGATGATGGAGTCTTAGGAGACTAGGAATGACGTTCCAGTTGCTTTGATCATTGACAACGGTTTCACAGTGAGAGGTAGGGTTAGGCGTAAAAGGCTTAATATTAGTACCAGAAGGCGAATGAGGAGACAGAGTTGAGGAGGATACGTTATGTTTAATTGCGTCTTGTGTACTAGTGGGAGGGTGCGGTGGTTGACACTTCCCGACTGCTCATATCGTGGAGCACAAATTCTTCTTAAGGTGCCCGGAAGAGAAAAAGGTTTGAATGACCGCAGAGCTCACAGGATATCTGCTTGAGGTCTGTAACAGCCTTCTGTGGGTTGTTGCTTCGAGGTTTGGTTTTTCTAACGCCAAATAGACAGAACCCATACCGCTACCAATGGAAGACCGTGGGGCATGGTGGAGTGCGTTATTTTAGGGATCCTTGTCTAACCCCACTCCCCTTCCCAAAGGGAAGGCAGCATGAGCATGGGACTGCTGGTCATCCAAGCGAAACACCTTAGTGCTGTCGCACCCTATCCAGCTAGGAGCAGTACGACTTAGCCCTAAGACCTCTATCATAGCGTAGCAGTTTACAATGCAACGGCAACTGCTTTTTGTTTTGTCACTATTCAACGGACCTTTCTGGCATGGTATGACCACGAGGGGACAAGTATTTCATCCGCATAGCTCGCTGGGTCATTGTAATATGCAAAACTGACCCCTACGTTAAGGTAGCAGCTGTCGGCCGGGATTGATGGAGGCGGTAAGATAAAAGGTGTGTTGCAACGTCAACAAATATATGAAAAACACAAGAGCTCAAATATGTTTCCAATGGTCTTGGTTATTTCCAGATTTGAATCCGATTGGATTTTCGTCTCTCCAACCAATCTCATATTCACACGTCCGTTCACGAGCTTTCTCCCGAAACTTCTGGGCAAAACGCTTGGTTGTAACAGGCTTCAGGTTTTTTATGCAAATCATGGGAATCTTATTCCGCACTATAACAGCTACCCTAATAGGTACGTCTATAACAGGTAAGAAACACTGATGCTCAGCATCTCCAACAAACACCACTAGATTTCGTTAAATTAGATAACCTCTTTTGACTTAATTTCTAACAGTCAGTTAGCTGAGTTGATATTGACTGGCTGCACATTGCTTCACTGTATAAAATACAATGTTGATATTTTCATCTCCCACTACTACACTATGCTTGAAAAAAGCCCAGTCAAAGTAATTTGAACGGCTCTAATAAAATGAGTATAAGGTAGATGAGCAACTTATCTCAGTTGAAGGGTGAATGGAGACCAGTTGTACCTTTACCCAAGATGTTTTATCCTATCAATCAATCAATATCAATATAGGACCAGGCATTACTGCATAACCGTCCCACTTGCCACAGCTCATATCAGTACATCGAGTAGAAAGGTAGTGAGGTGAAGGATGAAGATAAGAGAATGCAATCAAAAGAAATATAAAGTACGAGAAGAAAGAAAAGAGGAATGACAAAATGGTGAGATTCGGTATAGTGTAGTTAATATGAGGATAATGTGTGTATACATCTGCGCCACTCACATCGGTTCTGAGCCATATCACCTAGTCTCCAACCACTGGTTCCTCTTGTCCTGCGGACGCCAACCACCTAGTCTGCATCGCCCTACATGGCTCAAACCAACAGTCAGAGACTTCATACATTGATGTCATGTTTTAGTCTGGCCACCTCGGGCCTTTTTCCAGCTTGAACCTACTTCAGCCAACATTGTGTGACAGAGCGATCGGTGACTACACATACGTAATACATACCCCAACCATCCCAGTCGATGAAGGTTCACAACCACATCAACTGACTCACTTACCTCTTCTCCCTAAAACTCTACACCTAACTTCTGCATTACTCACGTGGTGACACCACGGAATACGTCCTATACTACGTAGGCAACAGTGGTCAAACACTTGAAGCCTTTTCACATCTTCCACTTTGAATGGCCATGCTTCACAGCCATACAGTAGAACAGACCGGACTGCTGTGCAGTACACGCAACCCTTAGTAGACAAACGGATATCACGGCGGCGCCATAGGTGGCGTAAATTGGCAGACGCTAATCGAGCCTTTTGTATCCGTGCAGAGATTTCATCGGCCACTGAGCCACCAGAGTTGATCCTACTTCCCAGGTAAGTGAAGTGGTGGACACACTCAACCACTTCACACTCTATTGTTAGCCGTGGCACCGCTGAAGATCAGTCCTGGAACAAAAATTTGCATTTGGGTGGTGGGAACCGCATCCCAAACGTTCTCAAATTCCCACTCAAAGTGTTCAGAAGGCTTTGCATCTTCACTTAACAGGACTATGTCATCTGGATATTGTAGGTCTAATGAAAATTCACCTGTGATTAGGTCAACGTCTGTGTAATTGGGTGACGAGAGGGAAACCTCTATAAGAATATCTATGATAAAATTGAATAAGAATCGAGACAGTGGGCATCCTTGACGGACACCACTTGATGAGTATAGCTCCCTGGACAACTCGTCACAGCCTCTAACACGCCCACAAGTGTTCGAGTAGAGAGCTTTCAATAAGGTGATGTACTTACTCGGCAGGCCTTTAAGTGACAGACATTGCCATAAGACTTCTCGATCAACGGAGTCAAATGCCGCCTTCAAGTCGAGAAATATAGCTATTGTCGGGCGTCTGTAAGCGTGCCTATGTTCCAGGACTTGGCATAGTGTGAATACTTGGTCGATACATCCACGGCCAAGTCTAAAGCCTGCTTGGTTTTCTTGGGCTTGCTGTTCCCGAACTCCACTCAGGCGTCGGAGAATTATAGAACCTAGGATTTTGGATACTATGTTCGTCAGGCTGATGACTCCGTGGTTATCACAAGAGGACTTCTGGCCTTTCTTGAAGAGTGGGATAATCAGTGACTTAGACCAGTCAGAGGGGATCGTATTTGATTCCTATATGCTAGCTAACACTTCCGTTAACCTGACTGACAGCACTCTACCACCATTCCTGTATACCTCAGCAGGTAGTCCGTCTGGTCCTGCTGTCCTTCCTCGTTTCAGGTTACCTACCGCTTTCTCAACTTCTGTTAGTGTTAGGGGACCTATCTCAATGTTCCATTCAGGATCCAACTGGATGGCGGGCAACGCAATGGTAGCTGGAAGCTAGTTAAACTGCTCCTCGAAGTGTTCTGCCCATCGCTCCAGTCGTCTCCCCTGCGAGTGAATCGCAGATCCGTCCTTCTCCGCGATAGCCTCACTAACTGTTGTTGATCTTTTCCCCCAAGTCTCCTTAATGGGTCTAAATAAGTATCTACTATTACCGACCGCCGCTGCCTTTTCCATCTCTTTAGCCTTCGCTGCCCACCACTGTTCGCGATCGTTGCGTAGACTTTTCATCAGTCTACTTTTAAGTTGCGCTCGCTCTTCATTGTACTCAGAACCTGCAGGCATACGTTCACGTGCATCTATTAGTTCGGAAGAAGCTGCTGGTATCCAGTCTAGTAGTGAGTTTTCTGCCCTAGTGCTTAGTGCTATGCCTACACCTGCAAGACCACGAGAGCTAGCTATCGAATCTCCAGAAACCAGAAGGGTGAATTTTGCGGATTCACCAGATTGGTCAGGTGAATAACTGTACTTGGGTCCTGTATGCGTGTCTCACAAACGCAGCGTGGTTTAAGGAGACCAAGGATGCTGTTCTGTGGACTCAGATCGTTATCAAAAGCTGCAGAACTATGAGGAATTGAAGATGATGTAGTATCGTTAGTTGAGAGACGTGAAGGAAGATTAGGAGGTAATGATGGAGGAGATGGATAGCAGTCTGAAGGAACTTGAGTGCTGACAGAGTTGTGAGGGCGGTTGACACTTCTCGGCTGCCGACATCGTGGAAGGCTGTTTCTTCTTAAGGTGCCTGAAACAGATTTATGTGACCGCAGAACCCATCGGACATCTGCTTGAAAGCTGTCACATTCTGCCTTTTGAGTATGATATTTTAAACTTTTGTATTTTTGGGGCAGGGTAGTCGAAAGGAAAAGACAAACGAACCAACACCGCCCGCCCGGCAGACCGTGGGGTATGGTGGAGTGTGTTATTTTTGGGGCCGACCTTTTCTAATCCCCCCCCTTCCACTGATAAGGCAGCATCAGTATGGCACTGCTGGTCATCTAAGGGAAACACCTTACTGCTGTCACACCCCATCCAGCTAGAAGCAGTACAACTTCGCCCTCAGACCTCTATCATAATGTAGTAATTTACACCACAGCAGTAACTGCTTTTCGTCTTACCACTATCCGACAAACCTTTCAAGTATGGTAGGACCTTGAGGGAACAAGCGTTCCACCAGTATAGCTCGTTGGGTTATTGTGATATGCAAGCCCGACCACCACGTCAAGGTAGCAGCTATCTGTCGGGTTTTATCCTATGGTTCCATCCGTCGTTTCGGAAGTTTATCAGATAATCAATGACTACCAACTTAATCCAGTAAAAATCTTAAATTCCAAATTGTTGGCAGTTCCCCTCTCTCCTATGTCGGATTAGATATAATGCCAGTTAACTCCTTCTTTACAATACACTCAATTCCAGCAAAACTTACATGGATTATAGCGACTTTTGGTCTTCATATTCCTTGCATCTGTCTAAAAACTAACCTTTGATATCTGAAATATCAGCAGAACAACTAAAATAAATAAAGGCCAGTGAAGATTAGAAAAGTTATTATTAGGGAAATCTGCGTACAGTATGTAAGTGCACGCTAAAAATAAGGTGTCACCCATAAACTTTTTCTAACAAACTAAAATTCCGAACCAGGAAGTACAGGTCAGCGAACAAAACAATTAACGAACAGAAAAATGCGCACACAATACGTGAAAATAGAGATACTGGGTTTTTATTAGATATTAGGTCAGGGAGGAAATAGCCGAAGGCGAAACCTGAAGCAACAATGAATGTAAAATTGAGAACCATAACAAGTTGCTTGCTAACGCATTTGAATTCTGAGAGACAAGTCCCTTTGGCTTTGGATGCAGCTGAGAATACTAGAGGCGACCCAACATCTCTAGTCATTTTATCATAATAACTGTTGTCATACTTCAGTTTCAATTCGCTGAAGTGGGCATCAAAAGTTGCGTCTCTGCGAGGCTTTCTAGTTTCCGGAAACACCACCGATGTAAGTAGGGAAATACGCCAAAACGGAATGTGAATATCTCTGTTAAAGTCTGCAGGTAAATTCCTCGTTAAGTTATAACAGTCATTTATCACCGAAAAAGCAACAGTTGACTCCTTCTCAAGGGTTCGGTTTATTTCATTTTTCAATTCTGAGGGGCATGCACTTAAATCATGAATATCTTTCAAAAATGCTGAGAGTTCTCTCGTAAGGAGAAATTTAAGGCCAAGTGACCTTGACTTCATTGCCTCTTACAACGCGGCATACTTATGACCCCTAAATAGCTCGTGTAAACTACTATTTTCCGAATACTCGTCTTCATTCTTAACTATTGCGAAGCCTCTCTTAAACCTGTACTTAGAATGGTGAAAAACACACTGCTCGGGGTATTACCAACCACTGTCTGTGAGATGATGTCGTGGTGTCGTTCCTGCTGAAACTCGAGCCTCGTACCAATGGCTTCAAAGGCTGAGGCGTTACCCACTATGACATGGAGGTTCGAGGTTCGAGTCCCGGTGGGAACAACATTACTGGGGTGTAGGTACATCTAGTTGACAAGTCCTAAATAAAACGAAGCGCACGTCCTGAATTCTTCTGCTAGCCACAACTAACCAGCTTACCATACTTAACATTCAGGTAATATCGAGACATACCCATACGAGCCCATATGCCAATGGAGATCGAACAAGTCGATCCAACAAAACAACAAAGAATAACAAGCATGTCAAGAAATAGTGCAAGCAGTACAAGTTTCAACCCGCTTTGTTCAGTTTGGCAGAATACTTTGTTATAGATAGGTCACGTGAGCTGTATTATTCCCAACAGTCGGTGTCACTCTGTAGATCCGGCATCGCTTTGAAAGCAGTAATTGAGGAGGCTGCTACCATAATCTCCGAAGCATGTTCCAACCGTTAACCATCTTTAGAGAGGAACTGTGGTTCACTCACAGCTCACTAGTCTGTGGCATTTTATCTCTTTCAGTTTGACTTCTTAGATAATCGAGTCTGGACGGAGTAAGCCGATTTACGAGATCAATATCCATGCAGCTATTCAAGATTTGACAGCACAACATGAGAACACTTCTTACCCTGTGAACTGGTGAAGGAGAAAGCCTGGAAGTTTTAGCCGCTTTTCACAGAGCTGCGAAAATCTTTTGCGATTTTGGAATTTCTATTTGTACTGTCTCTAGGATCTGTACTTCCTTCTTGAACCATGGGTTAGCATTATGCTAGCATTATTCAGTATGAGGTCTCATGTAGGGAGAACATGGCACCCTAAATTCAATCTCAGAAAAGCTCTTCGTTGTGACTATCGTAAGGGATTACTTTACCTAAAATCTTGTTACAGTATATTGGTGGCTTCAAGTTATGGCTACACGTGACTCCTAGATTCGTTGGTCCCTTAAATCAAGGTTACACTTATCATCCTATTAAGTCGGTCAACCTGTTCGCCAGTGTACAATACAGCGAGCTTGCTGAAGGTGATCTACAAACTTCAGTGTGAGCATCATTCCATCAACCGATTCAAGCCACACTGTCTCAACTTACAACCAACAGCCACCCTCTGGACTTCGGCATCACCAGTCACCAAAGAAAATGGCCTCATCATCTTAGGTAGCTCACCGGTGAGAGGTGGAAGTGACGAAAGTCATGTCTTGAGAAACTCTCACTTTCGAAGGGTTCTATCCCACCACCCTTGCCTTCTAACAATGAGTTATTCCTCAGGCCACTTTCACATATTTAGATGTATGCGGACGTCGGCGAGCTCTATCAAGCCATCCCAGAATGTCCTATTGCAGTCAATAAACATAGTGTCATCAGGGAACTCATTTTCTCCAGCTTCTACCTATTCTTACTCGGCTAAACACAAATTCATCACAGGAAAGGACAAGACGTGGTTGCAGCGAAGAGAAAACTTTCTTTTCGACGAAGCCATTCACTAAGCCGTACGTTCGTGAACATACCTTGCGGTGGGCAGGACGTTCCAGAACTATGCTCCGCAAGGAGCAGAACAACAAAATTGGGAAACATTGAGCCACACCAGTGTGTAAAAACGTTTACCTGCTCTCGTGAAGTCCAGTACATCGGTTGTAGCATGCGTCCGCTCAAAACACACGCCTACAAACACTACCAAACCCGGCAGGTAAACGAAGAACGGAAACGCATCTGCCGTCCTAACATACTGAATTTACAGCATTCGAGGCTTATCGATATTCTGTGGGTATGTACTAAGCTGAGGACTTCTGCAATTATAAACGTACGTAAGTTTACCGGCACAGATCACGGGGGCTGCGCTACCGTAAAATCTTTCGTTGTTTCGGTACAGCCAGAAAAAAAGGCTCACTGCTTACTAAGTCCCTCCAATGGTGAACAAGCTAATTTTTTGGTTGATGAGGCTGTTGCCCACTTGTATTTACTCTGGCATTTTCAGACAATCACAAAAGGTGTTTTATTACCAATTTTGTCATCTAGGACCTTCCACTCCCCACATAGTTCACTGCCACACATTATTCTGGCAATATGGTATCGAGTGTCACTTTCGTTGGTGACACCAGCTCGTCATCGCAGGACTCCAGGTGGCCCGCCGTGAGACTGATGGCAGCATCGCGTGCTAACTTCCTGGCTATCGAGAATTTATGTGCTTACTAGACTAAAGAGCCGTTTCACTTGCAGCGAGCGTTTCAGTTAAGTGGATACTGGTCCACTACATCGTTTTTAGGCCACAATTGTTAGGTGTGTACAAGTCTGATGAGACCACCCACCATAATCACTCCGTTGCGTGCGTACCTCCTCAGAGAATTGATACTGGTACCAGTCACAGTTGCCTAACGCACTAACCATAATTAAAAGTTAGATGACAAGCCAGGACAAACAAAATGATCTGTTAGTAGGACGAAGACATTTATGTCAACTAGATACCAAGGTAGGCAAAACTGAAAACAGATCAAAAGCACAGGGTTACGCTAAAGAGTAGGGAAGAGTTTTCTTTGGCCGAAATGTCTTCGGTCAAAGCAAGTAACGTCAAGTTCCGTTGCGCACAAAATAAAACAAGACAAAATGTATGGCAACTTCAAGATGTCACTCTCTTTTTCAGGCCGTGTAACCTGAAATCCTAGTGCTGTAGCCATGGTCATTTGGTCTCAGTGTTAACTTGGACAGTTATTGGGCCGTATTTTGATGCTAAATGACAAAAGTTTAGTTATATATCGACCCCAATGCTTTCTGTGTTTTATCTTTAAAAGTGCTATTTCGAAATAGCGAGTGTTTCGCTAAATACGTTTGCATTGGGTTTGCGTTGATCTGTCTGCGTCATATCTGGAATTTCCAGGACGATGTGCAGTTTTTGTTCATGGTCGTGTTTTTAGGATTTCTGGCTCTTAGTAAGAAGCTGCGGTTTGGGCATTGGCTGAGTTACTGACTGGTGCGAACTGCTCTGAGTTATTTGTAGACGAAACTCATTTTGGCTGCAAGAATTAAAACCATGGTAATAATAATGCACTAATTAAGTTATCGCCAAGCCATTGCATGACAAATTAAGCAGTTACTGAAGCAGAAGTTTATGTGCGCTTGATTTTACTATTCCAAATAGCAATGTGTGAACTAAATATCAAGTATTTAGACGGTAAGTGGGAACAAACAGGTCAAGCTATCAGTGTTTGGCGCTTACTTGTACATTTCCCAATCTGTTTGAGATAAAATAACTGCAGTATTTCGCGTGGGAATGACTTCAGAGAAGTACTTTAAAGTATCAAGGATAATTCTCAGAGTTTCGACTATTCCTCTAGAGGAGCTTGCAGAAGACTTTCACGAGATACCTATAAATCGTATTTCAAACTTGCTGACATTTTTCCAGATGTGTTATGTAACTGGTGTCAACGTTTTACTCGGTGCTCAGTGTATATAATACTATTCGATGAAGTCTTGAGTGTGTTATACGTAAATCACTGTCAATTAGTTTGTGCCACAAAACGTCTTGTCGTTAGTAAGGCACTAGTCGGTAATCTGTGTAGTAGCATATGGATTGCTGATTTGGTGCGCTTTTTGCAAAACTTTGTTCGCTACTGGTGTGCTCGAAAGTCTCTTTGGGTGGACCATCGTTTTTAGTGGAGATTTCATTGCTAGGCACCAAGCACCACCAGGCAAATTGCGACACTATTACTTTCCATATTGGGCACTTCTGTGGACATCCTCAAGCAGCACAAAACCGTGTATTCTTTGTAGGTCTATGGTAAGAACTCCGTTTATTGTGGACGTAGTTTCTCAGAATTTCATCTGGTGATCCTAGGTACTAAAAACATGTGGAAAGAGAGTCAAGTGCCCCTATTCGATAAGGGGATCCACCCTGGTTCCGTTAACGTAAACAACACGACTGATTTCGTGGGAATTGATGACCACAAATCCTACGTGCCTGAGTCGGCTTCGCAGCTGTAACCCGATTGATCAATCCTAGAGCACAATTCTGGTGTTTAGGGGAGTGAAAAGCTTCGCATACCTGTGTCTAGACCTACTCTTAGAAGCATATCGGGATTAAGCCGGGAGGACTTGTTGTAGGGGCTATAGCCACATGGCCATGTAGGGTTTATGTGAGGCGATTGGGTCTGTGATACTGATAAACTGTGAAGCATTCAGAACTACTTTACTTATTCTTCTCTGAGCATTGTCACGAGATCCCTGATTATGCATATCAGCTAAACCTACGGAAGGCTTTCGGTGTTTAGACTGAACTGCTATCTCTAGATGATTCATCGAAACCTGTCGCTCTAACTTGTCTATCTTTTGTCACGGTTTTCATAATTCCCATAAATTAAGTCATTGCTGGGTTTGAGTTATGATGAGTTATGGTAACCAGATGGTTTTAACAGCAAGAGTTAACAGGACTAACCCGTTTTGCATACTTGTTGCATTGAGACCTTATCATTTCGTAAGCACCCGTAATCAACTCACCATTTTACTTGCCTGGATCCTTGTCAAAACAACTTTATCTGCAGATAATGTACGACGAAAAGTTGATAGAATAGTTTCATGAAATCTCATTTTAACTTTCTATGGTTTTACAGATATCGAACTGACCTATTAGTCCTAACCAGCGTCGCTGGTATTAGTCTGGAATGCATTTGTTTTGTCTTTCAGCTAACGGAGGAGGAAATGATGGCTGCAGGATTGAAGCCTCGCCAGCGGGATTACTGTGCTCACATTTTAATTGCTTTGAATAAGTGTAGAAGGGAACACACAATACCACGTTTATACTGTTCTGACCTTCACCATCAGTATTCACAGTGTCAA